ACCAAGAATGTCCTGAGTAAGAAGGGTATTAGGACTGGGGATCTGGAGAGTGGCAAATGGGCAGGCAATGAATCTCAGTTTGGACCTGAGCCACAAGTTGGTTAGAGAGAAGAAGGTCATTAACCAGCTTTATAAGACCAGGTTGAAGTGTAGATCCTTCCTGAGCTGGCTGCTCCAGTAATGTTCTTTGGCTATCTACAGTAGTAGTCAGTGCCGGATTTACGTAAAAGCTAAACAAGCTATAGCTTAGGGCCTCACTCTCTTGGGGCCCCCAAAAAAATTTAAAGGGAAAAAGAAACTGGATGTACATTTCCAAAATATGTGATAAAAAACACATAAAATAAAACCTACACACAGCAACAGTGCTTTGTGTTGTGTATGGACCTATTAGGTCCATAAATTACCATACAGTACAGGGCTCGGCAAGGTTTTACCTGCCTGGGCCGGTCAAGTCCCACAGAGATCTCTCTGTGGGCTGGATTGCATGCGTGCGCGATTTCCAGTGTCTGGACATATGCAGACGCGATTTCCAGCACCACGGAAGCGAGTCCCCGTGCCGTGCCAGTTTAGCACAGCATGCAGGGACTCGCTGAGCGGGCGGCTGGGTTCGGGGGCAGCTCGTGGGCTGGTTAAACTGCTCCCGTGAGCTGCTTGCGGCCCATGGGCCGCAGGTTGCTGACCCCTGATATAGCATATATTCAACACAAAAAAAGTGACAATTTGTTGTTGACAAAGGACAGCTGGACATATAAAGGGCCACATTACCTTCAGTAGCTTAGGGTCTCATCAAACCTAAATCCAGCCCTGGTGGTAGTGCTGACATAAAGCAGAAAGACAGCCAGGGGCTTACACATCTGGCCAGCTGCAATGGCGAGGAGTAGTCCCCAGATTAAAATTGGCAGTGGCTCGCACAGTAAGTCATCTAAGTCAGAATGGATGCACTATATACTCTCTGTCTTCTGCTTCTAAATTGTTTTAACTGATTTTAGTCTTGTGTTTTTATATTGTTCAAACCTGCCATAGGCATGTACAATTAAGTGGGGATAAGATAAGAAGTCCAAGAAATAATAATAAATAATATTAGTGCACCTCTGGGAGTTGCTATAGTGTACATATGTCTCTATGGTGTTATGTATTTTTTATTTAATGTATGTGTTCATTCTCTTTTTTAAAAAATAGATGCTTGCCAGCAGTCTTTTCTCTTCATCCCTTTGAGGAAGAAGTTCTACGAAATCAACATGAGACTTGTGCAATGTGGAGAATTCAGAAACGTTTTATTCCACCGGCAGACTGAACTGGTAGACTCCTACAAAGACTTTCTACCCAACAGCTTTGTGGAACTGAAAAATCAGACTTAGCCTAAAGTTTCACATCCCATGTCTCAGGAGAAGAAAAACCCCTAGCAGCTCTTTTTTTCTAATTTCAGTGGATATGGCTGTAAATAAAATCAGTGTAAGCAGTATTGACATTGTTCTGCATTGTGAATATGGGAACTGACTGACAATAACAATCAAGAATGATTAACTCCAGTTCCTAATAGCTTCCTAGCAGCTGTTGCCAGGAATCAATGCATCACTTTAGTATTGGGCAAGTTATATTTATTTTTTTTCTAGGAGAGAGGGGAAAAAAATCCATTTAAATTGCCATATTTGCCATGCTGTGCTGACTGCGAAGTGATAAGTTAGAAATGGGATTGGAGAAAAGGCTGGAATTATATTTCATTAATTAAACCAGATTGAACGAATCAACAAAGAAAAGGAAAATAGGTCACATTCGTGGCACCAAGCTAAAAGGAGCTGCTGTGTTAGAAGTGTGGATAACAGTCACAGAGGGATATCTCATGAAAGGAATCCCCTGTCATAGAATTCAGGGAAGTTCCACTTCCATCACCCTACTATTTTACCACACACACCTTTTACAGGAAAGCAAATTTACCTATTTAAAATATTTTTACCTCACTCTCCAGTTGAGAAGGGCACCCAAAGTGGCTTATGATCTAAAAGACATGACACAAAAGGAAAAAGGGATTCAGAGGGAGGAAAGCAAACAAAGTCACTAGATGTTAGTAACAGGGACCTTATAAGGGCCAAGTAGAAAGTGTTCAAAGAGAGGAGGAACCAAAAGTTGCTGGTCTCTCAGCTGAGCCAAGGGGCTTGATTCAGATCACCGTTTTTGCTGATGTATGTTCCACCAGAATAAGCTAACCAGAGTTAAGATCCAGCAAAAGTCCCCCTGTTTCCCGAGTCCATTTTTCTGGGTGCACACCAGTGTAATATCTACCTTTCTTGTCTCAGCCAGCTGAGTCCCAGCTCTGTCTACACAAGGGTGTTACATTGGCAGAGCTGTATATCTCTGGCAGAGCTGGGATGTGGGGCTTACACAGGCATAGCATGACCGTGCCAGGAAGCAGCTGGCTGAGCCAGAGATCCACCGGATCCTAACTCCCTCCTTCTGGCGGATGCAGGGTTTCAATTGTCCCCTGACAGTGTAATTCTAGACATATCTTCTCAGGAGACGTTAAGTCCTGTTGAATTCAATGGCATATCATCCCAGTTAATAGGATTGCAGTCTAAATTTATTAAAAGTTTTGCATGTCTTTGTTTCTCTTCTAACTTCCTGCGCACGATGTGCAGTTTGGAGTGTAGTAAAAGCAGAGCTGTGTAAAAACGCTTTCATAAAGGAGCTATTTTTTTAAAAAACGAGTCCTGATGAGGACAGCATATGGCAAAATTGTTTCAGGGCTCTTGCTAATCTAGGGCCATATTTTATGAAGATACACTTACCGGGGTGTTTACCAGCTCTAGTGCAAAGCAGTATTAAGTTTTTCTAAAGCAGCAAATCATTTGGGGTATATGAGGTATTGTATTTGAGGGAGCGTTTTTATTTAATCCATTTTGAAATAATTAAGTCAGAAAGCATCATTGCTGCAGTCCAGCAAAGGAGATCTGTACATGGAACAAGAAATAGGCTTCTGCTTGAGGAGGTGAGGAGGCTGCAGTGTGTATCTGGGCGCACGTCTGCATAGTTATCTGGGCCCAATTAAACTGCCAGGAAGAGTTTGCTGTTTGCGGCAACAATTGCTGCACACAACTAAAACAGGATTGAGGCCAATGTATTTTAGGTTATGGGGCGGGGGGAGTAGCAGGAAAACAAACATCTGAATAATCTGAACTGCAATGTGAAGGAGATCTTCTTCATGTTGTGTTTCAAATTATTCAGGTGCTTTTCTCTCTGCTGCTGCTCCTTTGGCTAACATCTATAAGCCAGTACAATGCAATTTATATATTTAAAAAAAACACCAAAATCTCAGAAGGGCATTACTTTCCAATGTGAATAATGTTGCAGGCAGCTATGGTGACAAAGCCCCAGGAAATATAAAACAAATATCATTTTAGTTGTGAATAATTTTAAGAGGACAATAGCAATGTAATTCTGTATTTCGGAGAGGAATCTATATTTTCTCTTTGACCCTAGCTCTATACGTAACACTTTTGTATAGAAAGCTTCTAAAATCCTTAATATAAAAACTCGTCTTTCAAGCAGCCCTCCAGGCTTTAACCAGTTGATTTAAATGGACTTGTGTTCTGCATGTCCTTCCTATATACATTCTTTTCGCCAATTTATTCCATTTGCCCTTCAGCACTCTGATAGCTCTCACAATAATCTGCCTGTTACATGAGCACATTAAATTGAATTCAAAGTTCCAACAGAAGAACTGGAATGGGGAACAAGAAATGGAGAGCTTAGAATTGCAGCTTCGGACAGAGACCGTGCCACTGCTGAATACAGCATCCTCGCACCTCAGTAACTTCTCTCTTCAGTAGCATTAACTCCTAGTGATATAATAAAATGATTGATCTTACTTCACTGCACTGGAGTATCCCACTCCCTGAAAGAGAGGTCAATGAAGTGGACCCATAGTGTGAAAATCTTGGTTACTGGCATCATGCTACACATTCCATATCACTTAAAAGTTACAGAGCACGGGGAAAAGGAGCAGAAAGACATGTCCAAGCCCCCATAGCTCAGTTGGTTAGAGTGTGGTGCTGATAACGCCAAGGCTGCAGGTTCGATCCCTGTATGGTACAGCCGCATGGCAGGAGATTGAACTAGATGATCGCTTACAATTCAACAATTCTATGATTCTATGTCAGGGGCAGCCCGTCATGAACCATGCAGGTTTCAGCCTCAAACCTCTTTGGGTCGCCCTACAGGTGGTCCTGATAAGGAAGTCAGATTAGCCTCAACCAGGGCCAGGGCCTTTTCAACACTGGCTCCGGCTGGTGGAATGCTCTGTCTCATGAGACCAGGGCCCTGCGGGATCTGATTTCTTTCCGCAGGGCCTGTAAGACAGAGTTGTTCCACCAGGCCTTTGGCTTTGAACCAGCCTGATCCCCTCCCCTTCTGTGATGGAACCCCTATTTGGGGACTTCCCTGGCTTTTCTGGCCCACGTAGGACCAGTCTGAATAGTTGGCCTTGGTGAAGATTTGATGTTTTCTCCTCCCAAACAGTTTTTGATCTGGGCTTCCACTGAAATGAGGCTGCATTTTAAGTAGTATTTTAATCTCGTTTTTAAGTTGTATTTTAATCAATTGTTTTTATACCTGATGTTAGCCGCCCTGAGCCCGGTCTTGGCCGGGGTATGTATATGTGTATATATATATATATATATATGTGTGTGTGTGTGTGTGTGTGTGTGTATATATATATATGTGTGTGTGTGTGTGTGTGTATATATATATATATATGCTCATTAAGTGAATCCCACCCCATGTTAACAGATGGTGGTTTTTCTTGGGGCAGAATTTAGCTTTCTCAGCCACAGAAATGAATCATCACCATCATCATCACTGCCTGGAGTACTCCCTATGGTGTGTCCCAGCCCCTGCCTATTTATAAACTTTATTCCTGTCCCAGTGAATTTATATTACTACCTTGACTACTATCTTTTCCCTTGCCTCCTTAAACTACAGCAGTCGGTCAAATGAAGCAACCTGCATTATTTATTATTTGCCTTCCACATTTATTTCCACATTTGCCCAGGGCAAGCAACTGTGAGCTGCACTATAATGCTTTGGTGGGTGGGGAAAGAACTTCTAATCAAGACTGCAGGTGGTATAAATTGGCCCTTCTTGGTACAGTCACAATTTAACCAGAATCACAACATTTTTTAACTAAGCAAAGCAACATGAAAGATTTGCTGCAAAGCTGATTCCTCATGCTTGTGCAGAAACGGATTGGTGTTTTTTGGTGTTTTTTTTTTTAAATTTCCAGGCGCCTCACTTAGCCTGGAGGAAACTCTTGACAGGCACCACCAAATGCAACATATTGCCGTATCAGGGCCCAAAGGCTCTCATGTGTAAATGCGCACAAACGATCCCATGGGCTTTCCTAAACATTCTGGAGTGATTCCTTGGTCTATCTGCCACTGAGGAAAATATCAGAAGCACAGTGCCTAAAAGAAAAGGAAAATAAAATAAGCAGTGTATGGTGTGTGTGTGTGTGTGTGTGTGTGTGTGTGTGTGTGTGTTTTCTGACAGCGCTTTATATTACTGAATTCTGAAGAATGTATTTAGAATTAGCAGGCACTTCCCAGAAATTTGAAGAAACCAAAAAAATATTGTGATTCTTATATTGCTGTGGAGCAATATGGATAGTATAATTTGGAGTGTCAGGGCTGTGCGAACACACACACCCCTACCAACATTACCCAGTGTAGGACAAAGTGTCCTACACAACTGTGGGAGCAGGTGGCACTGTGGTCTAAACCACTGAGCCTCTTGGGCTTGCCAACTGGAAGGTAGGCGGTTCAAATCCCCGTGACGGGGTGAGCTCCTGTTGCTCTGTCCCAGCTTCTGCCAACCTAGCAGGTCCAAAACACACCAGCTCAAATAGATAAATAGGTACCACTGCGATGGGAAGGTAAACGGTATTTCCGTGTGCTCTGGTTTTCATCACAGTGTCCTGTTGAGCCAGAAGCGGTTTAGTCATGCTGGCCACATGACCCGGAAATCTGTCTGTGGACAAACACTGGCTCCCTCGGCCTGAAAGCGAGATGTGAACTGCAACCCCATAGTCGCATTTGACTGGACTTAACCATCCAGGGGTCCTTTACCTTTACTTACCTCCACTGCTCCTGAGGGAGCAGGCTAGCTTAGAGGGGCCAGGACAGACCACACAGCCAATGCAGCTCCACCTTCCAAAAAGAAAGGGGTTGGTGGGGCAGCGGCATAAGAACAACCAATGGTTTGCTGCTGCTGCTGCCTCCCTTGCATCTGCCACTTGAGGAGGACTCCTCAATTTGGCTAATGGTAGGGCACTGGTCTTAACAGATTTTGCATCTCTCTACCACAGTTTTACTTGGTATGCTCAGAAATAGCTGTAGCTGCCTTGAACAAATAGCCTAACTATTATTAATGATACACAGGATAAAAGAGATGTGCGAAGATGAACAACAAGACTTTCCATGTGGAAAATAAGAATTTTTAAAATAAAAAATGGCACAATATACACAAAGGGACAGTGACAATTTTTCATCAGATCTCTCAAAACTACAGCCATTTTAGTTCATAGAGAATTATCCTCCTGCTTTTGCAGGTTCAGATTCATCTTCTACCATAAGTTTAAATGTACAGTATTATCCACATTTGTTAACTGGGCTTTTCAATTAATGATTTTTTTGGGGGGGGGGGCGGGGACATTATTTATAAAGAATAGACAGCTACTTTACCAGAGCCCAGAGATAAGTACAGCTGCTTACTGAGATTTATGAACTAATGTTACAATTCCTCAAGAACAACAATCAAATGGTTATGGCAGTTCACACAACATTTCAGAAAGTTCTAGAATCATAGAATCATAGAATCATAGAATCATAGAGTTGGAAGAGACCACAAGGGCCATCGAGTCCAACCCCCTGCCAAGCAGGAAACACCATCAGAGCACTCCTGACATATGGTTGTCAAGCCTCTGCTTAAAGACCTCCAAAGAAGGAGACTCCACCACACTCCTTGGCAGCAAATTCCACTGTCGAACAGCTCTTACTGTCAGGAAGTTCTTCCTAATGTTTAGGTGGAATCTTCTTTCTTGTAGTTTGGATCCATTGCTCCGTGTCCGCTTCTCTGGAGCAGCAGAAAACAACCTTTCTCCCTCCTCTATGTGACATCCTTTTTATATATTTGAACATGGCTATCATATCTCCCCTTAACCTCCTCTTCTCCAGGCTAAACATGCCCAGCTCCCTTAGCCGTTCCTCATAAGGCATCGTTTCCAGGCCTTTGACCATTTTGGTTGCTCTCTCCTCTGGACACGTTCCAGTTTGTCAGTGTCCTTCTTGAACTGTGGTGCCCAGAACTGGACACAGTACTCCAGGTGAGGTCTGACCAGAGCAGAATACAGTGGCACTATTACTTCCCTTGATCTAGATGCTATACTCCTATTGATGCAGCCCAGAATTGCATTGGCTTTTTTAGCTGCTGCATCACACTGTTGGCTCATGTCAAGTTTGTGGTCAACCAAGACTCCTAGAACCTTTTCACATGTACTGCTCTCAAGCCAGGTGTCACCCATCTTGTATTTGTGCCTCTCATTTTTTTTGCCCAAGTGCAATACTTTACATTTCTCTCTGTTAAAATTCATCTTGTTTGTTTTTGCCCAGTTTTCTAATCTGTCAAGGTCGTTTTGAAGTGTGATCCTGTCCTCTGGGGTGTTAGCCACCCCTCCTAGTTTGGTGTCATCTGCAAATTTGATCAGGATGCCCTTGAGTCCATCATCCAAGTCGTTGATAAAAATGTTGAATAAGACCGGGCCCAAGACAGAACCCTGTGGCACCCCACTAGTCACTCTTCTCCAGGATGAAGAGGAACCATTGATGAGCACCCTTTGGGTTCAGTCAGTCAGCCAGTTACAAATCCACTGAGTGGTAGCATAGTCAAGGCCACATTTTACCAGCTTCTTTACAAGAATATCATGGGGCACCTTGTCAAATGCCTTGCTGAAATCAAGGTAGGCTACATCCACTGCATTCCCTTCATCTACCAGGCTTGTAATTCTGTCAAAAAACGAGATCAGGTTAGTCTGACGTGACTTATTTTTCAGAAATCCATGCTGACTATTGGTGATCACAGCATTCCTTTCTAGGTGCTCACAGACTGTTTGCTTAATGATCTGCTCCAGAATCTTCCCTGGTATTGGTGTCAGACTGACTGGGCGGTAATTATTTGGGTCCTCTCTTTTCCCCTTTTTGAAAATAGGGACAACATTTGCCCTCCTCCAGTCTGCCGGGACTTCGCCTGTTCTCCAGGAATTCTCAAAGATGACTGCCAGTGGTTCTGAGATCACATCTGCCAGTTCTTTTAATACTCTTGGGTGCAGTTCATCTGGCCCTGGAGACTTGAATACATCTAAACTAGCCAAGTATTCTTGTACTATCTCCTTAGTTATTCGGGGCTGTGTTTCCTCTGCTGAATCATTTGCTCCAAATTCTTCAGGTCGGGCATTGTTTTCTTTATCGGAGAAGACTGAGGCAAAGAAGGCACTGAGGAGTTCAGCCCTTTCTGTGTCCCCTGTTTGCATTTCACCATCTTCTCCTCTGAGTGACCCCACTGTTTCTTTGTTCTTCCTTTTGCTACGAACATACCCATAAAAGCCTTTTTGTTGCTTTTAACCTCTCTAGCAAGCCTGAGTTCATTGTGTGCTTTAGCTTTTCTGACTTTGTGTCTACACGTGCTGGCTATTTGTTTGAATTCCTCTTTGGTGGTTTCCCCTTTTCCATTTTTTGTACACATCCTTTTTTAATCTTAACTCAGTTAAAAGTTCTTTAGATAGCCACCCTGGCTTCTTTAGGCACCTTCCATGTTTCCGTCTCATTGGTATTGCCTAAAGTTGTGCTTTTACTATCTCCCTCTTAACAAACTCCCAGCCATCATGAACTCCCTTTCCTTTTAGTATTACTGTCCATGGGATCTCACCCAGCACTTCCCCAAGTTATATGAAGTCGGCTTTCTTAAAGTCAAGAAATTGAGTCCTAGTATGCTTGGCTGCTCCTTTCCGCTGTATAGTAAACTTCAGAAGAGCATGATCACTCACGCCTAATGATCCTTCATCTTTGCATTGTATTGAATGACCATTTTGATTCTTTCAGATATATGTACAGTGGTACCTCGGGTTACATACGCTTCAGGTTACACACTACGCTAACCCAGAAATAGTGCTTCAGGTTAAGAACTTTGCTTCAGGATAAGAACAGAAATCGGGCTCTGGCGGTGCAGCAGCAGCAGGAGGCCCCATTAGCTAAAGTGGTGCTTCAGGTTAAGAACAGTTTCAGGTTAAGAATGGACCTCCAGAACGAATTAAGTACTTAACCTGAGGTACCACTGTAAATGGAAGCTTGGCGCATCAACAGCCATGACAGCTAAATGAAGGTTCTGGTTCAAAGACAGTATAGTTTCGATTTCCCAAATTTGAGAAGTGATGCTTTGGGGGGTGGCGGGTGGCGGGTGGGGAGACAGTATTACAGTACACATTGTAAAATTGTATTGCAGCTTTCTCCTTAGGCACGCTGGCCCAAATGACTGACAGAAACCTGATCCAAATGAAGTAAAATACTGCATTCACAGTAGTTCTTACGAAATACATTCTAATCTAAACAGTACATGAGTGACATTTAAGAGTTTTCTTTCATTTGGGCCTGAGCAGGGAGGTCACCTGACTTGAAAGGAATTCCTATATTTGACCCATGGGTTGTATTCTCTAAAATCCAGAGCCCATTCCTTGCTAAATCTGATAAGTGTCCGCCTGCTTCTTAAAATCCTGTCTCTGCCCCATCACGACACCTTTAACTGCAAAGCCTTCCATTCTGTTTATCGCTGATAACAGCCGATGTTGTCATGTGGAGCAAAGTACACAGCGCTCAAACTGAAGTTACAGGGCCACTGACATAAGCAAGCACACTGACATCAGCCTCTTAAACAAGATGGAACAGAAAAGCGATGCATCGTTTGCGGTTATTTTTAGAAAGCAGAATGGTAAAAGAAATTAGCTCAAACTTAAACATCGTGTTCTTTATGTTAAAATGCTTCATCTTACTTGAAATGCAATCACTACCCCCCATCCACCCAGTTCTCTTAACGCTTATTGCTTCTGCTTGTTTTTTCTTCAATAAGCTTATTGCTTATGGCTGCTCTTTCTTCCCTGTTTTTTTACTTATCTCTTGAATCTAGAAAGCAAAAACAGAGCTCAGTGATCTATATTTCCACCTTGCTACAATCCTCAAGTGATTTTGTTCTGGGTATAGTTTCGGTTTGTCAACAGATTCACAATGCAAAATGCACAGTGCAATACTTCTGTTTACTCAGAAGTAAGTCCTACTGCTTTCTGTGGAAGCTTATGGTGAGTATTTCAGATTGCAGCCATAGGCTATAGAGAACTGATATGAGGTGTGTGTGTGTAAAGACTTGCATAGCATACATCAGAAAAGTATGCAAAATGTATTAGACATATACTAATATAATTATTGTAATAATATAAATGGCAACATCAATATTTCAAAACGTATGTTCTTTCATCATAATCCAAAATTTATTTGTTTATATATTTATCACGTTCCCTATCTTTATGTCACTTTCTGTTAACTCTTTAGTAGGATAGTCTATTCAGCAAAATCAGAATTACTCCTTCAGGATAACATTTTAAATATATAAAGGCACGCTCGTACACACACACACACACACACACACACTCATTTCTAATCAATATTGAATCAGTTCCTGTTTAATAATTTCCTGCAGATTCAAAGGACATCCTGAATCATTCTTCCACCTTCACAAGAAAACAGCCTTACAAGTGAATGCAAATGGCCATATCCCTGTTTGAGACTTCCTCAGTTTCTCAATGGATAACGCTTCAGTAAATAGCTATATTTTGAGCTATATTTTGAGATGTGCTTTGCACATCTACCTTGGAGTAAGTCCTGCTTAACACAATGGGACGTACTTTCAATGAAACTTGCACAAGACTGCTGCAAGGGTAGAAGCAATATCCTCACTCTGTGTCTCTGGCCCAACAGTTAAGTCAATCCCTCAAGTCCCATCCTGGAGCAGAATAGTTTTCCTGTGAGACAGTGATTCCTGAGAGCAGGAAGTTTGAACATCTTTGCAATAAAAAATTAGAATAAATTAAGCACAGTTGTGTCTCGTATGCAAAGTTGACGGTGTGCAGAATTCCCTGTAAATTTAATGACTAATAAATGGCCTCATAGAGAGAGAGAAAGGGTGGAGATGGAACATCCTGAAATACTCTCCATGTAGACGGCGGATTCTTGATTCATTACAGCAACTCAGAGGAAACAACCGTCTTACAAAACCCTCATCCTTTGGATTGGTCCCAAAGCATAACCATTACATGCCACAACACCGTTCTGCCACATGCATTCACTTATTTATTTAGAGCATTTCTTAGCTTGCATTCCAAAACAATGACTAAGTCCCATTGAATTTGTATATCCTTATGATCACATAGTTAGTTGCTTTTCCCATAAGGGCTCAAAGCGATGTAGGCATATACATGCACAAACACAACTGGTCAAAAGGGTAGGTCTTGCTCTCTGTCTCCTGTTTCTCAAACTGCAATGCAGGTTATTAAGGCATTTTCCATAGAGGAACCCAACCTCTGGAATTCCCACCTTATGTGTAAGGATGAGCAACCCTCCCCCAGGCTGCAGGCCTAGTCACGTCTTCAGAGCCTCCCCTGACACTCCCCCAATCCATTCCTGTCCTTCAGGCCACCTCTCTCCCTCCTCGTTATTTGGGAACCCCGATAAATAAGGATGGGTTCTTTTGTTCTCC